CGGTGAGAGACAGATCAAGTAAATTTTTCTCAACAAAATATGTATTCTCTAATTAAATAAAATATTATTTACAGATATTCTATGGGCCAATAACTTGAATTTAATGTTTTCTTCGCTATTTTATTAATATATTTTCTGTACATTACGTATTTATTTGACACTGCCGTATATTTGTATGCAAGTACATCAGAGGGTAATGTGGGGGTCTTAATAAATCGATCTAGTGCAAGGGCATACACTCTATGGATCAAAGTAAGCTTTTACATTTCAACAATAGAACTATCAAGGTATCTAAAAAGTGCGTGCTGCGATGCTGATGCAATCTTAAAAACAATTTAATTATATCAATGTTTCATGCCGCTGACCAGCAAAAAAAAAAAGCATTCGGTCATACAAGTATAATTTTAACAATGAAATTGCAGAATTTAGACAGGATCGCAGCACTTTTTAGAAACTACAATGTGTGTTGAAAATATTTATATACTAAACTTGAAAATTTTACTTGGTTATGCCTTTGCACTAGTGACATTTATATGTAACATCAATACTTCAAGTCAATGTCCTAAAATCGCGTGACTGCCGCATCACGTGACTAGTCTAAATATAAAATATAATCGTCGTCGATATGTAGTTATTAATCATAATTACAATTATCCGATATAAATAATGTACTAAAAATAATCGCCATCCCGATTACGAATACATTTTTAAATACAAAATTTAGTCGATATTTCCATTGCGCACCTTAACTGTACAGCGCACCTTCTTTGTCAGTAGCATACATGGTGGATTACTCTTCAGATCATTAAAGTTTATAGGCTGAAATTCCCCACCATATTTGAGCATTTAAAATTAAATGAAAAGATTGACAATCCACCACTTTGTTAACACAAGGTAAGATATTTAGTTACGATAAGAGAAACAGTTTTCCATCTTAATAATGTGCTAGTTTTGTGTCTAACAACTTATTATGTTTGGTTGCTATAGGGCTAATCTTTGGTTTACAAACCACATTCTTGATAATTAAATACCTTAACTATTTAAACATATATAATCGACAAAAAGTCGCATAGATAACGATATGGTTACAGAAAGCTAAAAAGGGCCTCCTATTAGAAGATTTTGTAAAATTGTCATAATGTGAATATCTGTATAATGTATTTAGTTTATTGCAAATACAAAGTCAGTGATCAATAAATGAAATTCATTTCTTTCTCAAGATAAACAAGATATCTTTATATCTTTTTTCTGGTCTTACTCAATGACACATATCTTTCTTATTTGGTTTTTATTTGGTTTGACTTAAATATTAGATATAAAGGTTGTTTGCGAGTTTTATGGGGGGATCTAGATCTTTAAAGCCCAATAACAATTTCTTTATGCAATGGATCATGAAGAACGACATATCGATTTTTCATTGCTATCTTATTCATATTTTTAAAGAAAGGTGTTTTATTCAAGTGCACAGTGGAAACCCTGTAATGTATTTTGTAGTGAAATAAAATTAAAAGATGTCCAGACAATTAACATCGCAAAATTTTAAAGCCCCATTCCAATGTGATTATTTACCCACTGGTGCAAATTCACCTGGAGGTTACTTTTTCTTTTGGTATGTAAATGTAATTCTTGTAAACTTAAGGTAGTCCAATCCTCAGGCTTATAAAATAAGCAGTTAAGTAATCAAAAATACTCATAAAAGTATCTCTGAATCCACAAAAGTTATGTAAATTTACCCACATTATTTCTTTAAAGTTAAAGATTAAAGTTAATTATATTTTATTCGGAAAATTGTCAAATCTCCAATATCCTTGCAGAAAAAGCGAATTAACTGGAATATCAACAATGCATTTTGTAATTGCAAATTGATCAACAAATATAGTTTAGGTTAAAAAATGATAGGTATCCAGGCATTTAGAGGAATTGTCATGTTATTTTATCATTATGTGTTTTTGTCCTCTATATTTCCGTCATGTATTCTATAAAACATAGTGTAAAAGGCTTTTGCTATCATTGCAAGACACCAAAAATCACTTTTTATTTCATATAATGCTAATAAGCATTGGTATCTAAGGCTGGATTCAAGAAATTTGTTCCTCTAAAACTGTATCAATTCTTTTCCTTTTAAAAAGTACAAATGTCAACTTTTATAAAACCTTTTCTAAGACTTCCAAAAACCTTGAATCCTATAAAGATGAATAAATGAAAATTGTTGCATTTCAAGCTTCATTTTGATGCATTTCAAATTAAATATTAATTTTTGGAGTTATCCTTCTTTCCTGAGGATCAGGCAATGTGTGTAAACCAGTATTAAGTTGGCAATTTCAAATTATTTTGCTAAGCTTTTTTGGTCTTTCCACCTGCTCTTCTCAATGTATTGTTCCTTCAATGCACTAATATAAAGATATTACAGTTTGTTTGCTTAACTGCTAATAAAAATAATATTTGGACTTAACAAACAACTAAAATTACTATTCTCTCTTTTATAAATTCATTAAATTTCTTTTGTAAGGCGTCTTTGGTCGGATAAAAAAATATCAATATTGTATTAATTGTGTTATCTACGTCACAATAACTTACATCAAAACGTATTCATCCGTTTGACGATTTATTTGAAATTTGCAGTTCAGAGACATTATAAGAAGTAGACGTTGTCTTATATTTTATATTTCATATGATAGACAATAAAATTATAAGAAATAAATTTAATAGCTACCCAAGGTAAACTCAAATAATCTTCGTTTGCGGTTTATAAAGCGGAAACTGTCTGAACCCAGGTCATAAATTATATCTTGTGAAGTTTTTGAATTCATTCCTTGAGAAGATCAATTTAATAGTAAATCGGTGAAGCTGCATTTTATAGAAAATTCTAATATTTATTCATGACTAAAAATACACCAGGAGTAAATTAACATATATATGTAAAAGTTAATTTGCACGTAGTCAGACTTGTTGCAAACTTTACACTATTAGAGAATTACTCTTAAAAAGTAAAGTTATCTTGCAAATCACACTAAAATTGAGCCAATTACAAATTAAAATAAATTCCTTACAATTTGTTTATAGGTGCATGTGATCGGCATTGAATTTGTACGAGGAGAGGTCAAATAGTTATCGAACTATCTCCATATTTACAAAACCACAATTCAGATCAAAATGAAATTTGGAAATCATATACATGTAGTCATAAAAAAAGTTCTATAAATACCTGTAGCATATATTATATTATGATTTGCTCCATGTTTGTCGTCACCATGTGAAAATGATGCCAATAATTATATATGTAGGTGACCTGCTGAAGAAAAATGGTTGACTCTGCCATACTCGAGCAACAAACGACCATTAAGATTAACTTATATCTTGGAAATTCCTTTTCAATAGTATACAATGATTTGTACAGCGTTTATGAAGACAAAAGACAAATTAAGGGGCCGACTATAGTTTCCATTGCGCAGTATTTCGTGCATCATAGTAAAATGAAGCGTATTTACTCTTTTAGAGAATTTTTTTTTTCACTTAATTCATAGAACTAAACAAAATTAAGAAATAACGGGTCGAAAAATTTTATTATAATTTTAAATAACTGAATTTTAAAACGATTTTTAAACTGACAAGTAGATTGGTGTCGTAATAGTGTGTTTTTAACGTGACGCTCTCAAAGATGGGATAATAAAAATGTAATGGAAGAAAAATTAATAAACATAGGTTCTTGAATTTTAAAACATAAGAATTTGATAATCTCTCCGTAATATTTATATTTTATTTGAATAAATCCTTTGCAAGGGTCATATTTTGTAGTACTCTATAAAAACAAGGAAATTCCTTATTTTTTGGCATTTTGAGACGCCCCCTCAGGAAACAAGGCGGTAGAATTTTGTGGTTCTTACATATAATGTACAATATTGTATTACCCATCATATATTATAGTTTGAGCAAAAAGTATATTGTAGTATTTGTATAAATTGCTTTAAAGTGGGAAAAATTGGCACTTTCCTATATAATCCTGTAGTAAATGTACCTGTATTTTGAGACGGTCCCTCAGAAATACCTGGGCGGTAGATTTTCCCCGAACTTTGCATTTACACTTAAGTTAATATAAGTTATAAATGGTATAAAATGAAGAGTTTTGCTATTGTAGTTTTCACACAATAAAACCATAGTCGACCCCCTTAAATTATTAAGTGGATCAAATCCTTTGGTGAAGGAAGGGAGATAGATAAAAATGATGTTTTTCTGTTGCCAAGTAAAAGCAAGCTTAGGAAGAGATGTGTTATTAGTTAAGCGATTTGTTATAAAGATTGCTAATTTAAATTAAACAGACAATTAAATATCTTAACAATAATGTGATTATTAACTGCCTCAAATATCATTTAGTTAAGAATTTAAACATATCAGATATGATAGAAAGAAGGCGCCTTTATTTTATCCACATTACATAAACTACGCTCCCAAGAAAGTGGACTCGGGCTGTGATGGTCCAGTACTCATTCTTGAAAAGTTATCCCTTTTCTTCCCACCCTGTAGCCGAGATTTGACCAAACGGACGTTTTTTGTAATCAATAAAAATATTTTGCATTTAAGGATTTGATTTGGATTGTATAAAAATGTTTCGGCATACGAAGTACATATTTCAAACTTCAAAAAAAAAAAAACGTAAGCGCAATTATTTCCGCTAAAGCATCATATCTTCATATCTATCCTTTAAAAAAATTGAATTTATTGTCATGTGTAATGATTTTAATATGTTGCCCCAATACCGTTTTCGCTTACATGTATAATATTGATATTACACTTTTATCCATATATTTACACAGTTGCTCTTAATATACAATCTTACATAATTTTTCTCTACATTTATTAACCATTAAACCTGATCTATTCATGAAAGGAATTTAATGAAGATTATGAAATTTGCATTTTATTCTTTCATGAATTAATTTTATTATCTCTGATTCTGCGCGCTAAATTATATTTATAATTATATCAACTTTGACAGTTCAGAAATGGATGGTTTACTAAGATGTACGGATCAAAAACAGCTTTCAGAATGGATCGGCAGGGAATGTCATTTTAGACTTCTGTACAAAATCACTCGAGACGGGGGGTCGTCAGAGAAATTTCATGAGTTATGTGACAACAAAGGGCCGACAGTAACAATCTTTTATAATACCGGTAGCAATGTGTACGGAGGTTATCTGTCGGAAAGGTGGAGTTGTAGTGGTGTATGGGCCACAGATCAAAATGCATTCCTGTTTAAGTTGTATACTGCTGCAAATTGGATGCCTAAAATATTTCACTATATAAAAGGTAAAGGCAATAACTATTATAAAGATTTGAAATGTGGTCCATGTTTTCAGAATCTGCTATCTTTTGAAAACTCTGTCGTTTTTAACAAAACTAGGAGTTGTTTTCCACTGAAAACTTCAAATCTCTTAAATGGATCACACTTTGATATGGGCGAAGAAACTGGATTTTCAGTAGCAAATGGACATAATAATGTAACAGACCTTGAGGTTTACCTTGTAAAAGGTAAGACAGTTTTTGTAAAGGTATAAACTATTATTTATCACCGATACTGCAAACTCACAATGATTCAAAATTAAAATAATTTATATGATATTTTACACGATTTGCAGGTACGTTTCTTTTTTTCTTTGACTCGGATAAATGTTGCCTGATTAATATACTCACCGTCAATGAAAACGCAACACTCTACTTTTAGAGTGAAAAATTATATACGGGATATTACTATGTACCAAACAAGTTAGGACATCTTTTACTTTTACTTTGCCAAATCCGTTATTTAATGGTTGAATGGTTTTCATTCCATTACCGAAAGTTGATTTTTTAGCCCTCTTAACAGATAACATGTAAATAAATCACCCCTCCCCTTCCGACCATTTAGTCAAAACATGCTAGTCCGCCATGTGCAACATACATGTACGCAGTCCAATTCCTACCATGCATTAGCTTTATCAATGTCTTCATCTGAGCGAAATAAATATTCTTGGGCATTTTTAATTGCCTGTTGTTCAACTTGTTCTTTAAATTGGCGTAGTGTAGTAACTCTTGGAATTCCGGTTAAGAAACTGTTATTTATGCTATTGAAACACATGGACCTGATGAGTTCTTTAAATAGTGTACACCTGCATCTGCAGCTCTTTTTTCTCTATTTTGAGAATCTCCAGCATTAGCAATGAAAATCAGTCATTTTGTGGTCATATAGGCATCACATCCGGTAAAGAAAGAAGGATTTTTCCCGGAATTTTAGTACAATACTTACGAAAAACAGCTACAAAACCTTGAAAACTAAAAATATTGTTAAAAATTTTATTTAGAATGCAAAAATTTGATTTCTGTTAAGAGGGCTAAAAAGCAATTTCCGGTAGAGGAAAGAAATACATTCAACCGTTAAATAACTGATTTGGCAAAGTAAAAGATGTCCTAACTTTTTTGGTACATAGTTATAACCCGTATATACTTTTCACCCTAACATTAGAGTGTTGCGTTTTCATTGACGGTGAGTATATTAATTTTGAGAGGTGCGTTAGATTCTATCATTGACCATATTAAGTAATCTATTTTTAGGATATTTGAACTTTACATGTATTTTTATCTTCCTAAATGAAGGTTGATCTACAAAACATTATCTGTGAATATTTTTAATCAGTTGATATATTTTAATCATTTGAAACCTTAAGTTATAGCTACTTGGAGACTCTATAGAGATTTTCATAGATGATGTTTTAAGCCATTTAATATTTTATTGTAAATATGGATTAGAAAATTTCGGATTTTACCTTTTGCTCTTATATAAAATAATCACATTCATTTTTATTAATGAACATGTATAATCCCGGGTTCCAATATATCCTTTTGATAAATTAATCTCATTTTAAGATGGTCCATTTGTTGAGGAAGCATGGAGGGAATCTCCGGAGTGGAATTTACAGGTAAAGTAGTAAAATGAATAGTAGTTATAAAAATTGAAATTTGAATTTCATACAAAATTTAAATCTTTATGAAAAACCAATGAGACTTTTATTATCGAATCATGTGGGCAAAAAAAATATTTAAGCATTGAATCATTTTCACAACGCTCAATGTTTGTGACGTCAAAAAAATACACTTTAAACTTTTAACCACCTTTCTGTGTTGTGGTGTTTTGAATGCGATTGGTTTTCACACACTTTATGAGCAAAGTACATGCGAAATGTAAATATAACATCTGAACAATAACATCTCTGATCTCAGGTAATATAAAATATTCTTGATATCATGGTAATAGGTTAACAAATACTAATGACAACTAAAAATAATGATGATATACTATTGAAAAAAGTAGGGGATACTGTAGTCTGTGATCAAAATGTTTACATTATTATAGAAAGGAATATGAAACCATGTTGTTTAGTTCCTTAAAGAGGAAGAATTTTTAAAGAAATGAATTACTCAAACACATCAATCGCACTCTCACGATCTGCACGAGATGCTACTGATGATCAAGGTCACAAGTTTGAATGCCGCTGAATTGAAAACTTAAAGCCATCCTAAAGAAAGATTTGGAAGATAAAGCATCAGATAATCAGTTGTTGAAGGATACGTGCCCTATGCATGTTACAGGTTGGTAAAAGACAGGTCGCTGTGGCAAGCTCATTGAATGTTTCCCAGACTGACATCAGCAGATTATGTCCAGACATCGTTCTACAGAGTCGACCAACGGCAGCCAATCAGACCCAGGACAGATTTATCCATACTATTGCTTTGAGAAATTGTCTGATAAGCTTAAAAAGGGATACCGGGTTAGTAGTGAGTAAACATAACATCAGGAATCGACTGCACAGATTTTACGTACGCGACCGACTTGCTTGTGTCATTCCTGTTTTAGAGAAAGTCACATTAGTTCCCGACTCCAATGGTATTGTCACCATCAACATCAGATAATCTCCGATGGAAACATGTTATTTCTCAAATGAGTCAGGTTTCACTGTTACCTTCGTAAACAGTTCCAAAGGGTTTAGCCCAGACATAACGAACGATTCCATGACGTTACTGTTATTAGACATGGATCGTCATGCATGGGGATGGATCAGTAATTTTGTTAGGGAACATCACTGTACAGACTTGCATGTTGTTGCTGGACGTGTCACAGGGCAGTATTACCGGGATAACATCATGACACCCCATGTTGTGCCGTTTGCATGTCGTTATGGTCACCATTATATTCTAAAGATGACAATGCCAGATATCATAGGATCAAGATCGTTTTAGTTTATCTCAATAGCAGAATATCATCACATTACCATGGCCCGCACTCATTCCGGATCTTTCCCCACATCGAGCATGTTTTGGACATGCTTGGACAGCGGCTACGCCAATGTCAACAATGTCCTACCAAAGTCTAAGAATTTGCAGCAAGGCGGAAATAACCTTCCCAAAAAAGATTTGGGAGCTGGACGCCGAGGTCCCATAAAGAGTAGAGAACGCCGAATCCGAGCTTTTCTTGTCAACCCTGGAGGTTTTACCTACACCTGAATATTTCTCGCAATGGTGGTTAATTTGCTGTGTGACCCTTTGTTGGTGTCGTACCTTATTCTGGAAAATCCGACCTTTTCTGACTGTACACAGGGTTTTGAATAAATTGACAAAAGTTTCCTTCATGCTTTTCTGTCATTTGTTTACTTCTCGGCCTTATAATAATGTATTTCATTGTCCTTGTAAATCCAATATCACCTACCTTTTGTAATAGTTTATCTGGATGATTATTTTTTATTCACACAGGCGTGTCAGGAATTGAAGGAAAATATCATCAGGCATGAGCCATTCGAAGAAGCCAATGTACCTGAATCAAATATTCTTCTTGTTGGACAAGTGGACGCGGGTAAATCCAGTTTTCTGAATACTATTAATTCAATATTCAAAGGAAAGATATCATCTCGGTCATGTTCAGGAAGTACTGAAAACAGTTTGACAAAAAGTGTAAGTCTTTTTTGGATCAATTTATAAAAAAAAATATGCAAATGTCGCTTTTCTCAAAAAAGTAACTGATTTTGTAACATAATCACACCTGCATGATTTTCTTTCAAATCCTGTGCTTGCTAATTTAATGCTAATGACTTTAATTATTCTTGTCAATTAAGCTATCCTTGTGTTTTACATCTTGGTAAATGCATCTTTAAGAAGCATCGATCATGCGCAGAAAAATGAATGAATGAAATAAATGAATGAATTTCAGCATTATGATTTTATGCATTATGTTTTATATCACATTTTCTAAAATGTTTACTTTTAATATGAATATTCTGAAATATCAAACTGGTGTTTTATTATTTTTAGTCGCTAGATAAAAAAATTAGCAATTCTCTGATTGTAAAAACTCAAGCAACTAATTTTAAGATCAATGCTATTTATGATAGTTATTTCTTTTGCTTTTTTACATTTCTGATCATGCCAATCCTTGTCGTAAATTCTGAAACTGATTTATTTGATTAAAGGCATATATTTACATACAACCATGTATTCAATGGCCATAAACAGTAAAACTGTAAACATGATTACGTATAATGTACATAAATATACTTGTCCGTACAAACATATGTTAAATGAAAAGCATTTGTTTATAGACTTAATTCACATGTTAAAATAGCAAAATTATTAATGCAATTTAGAAAATTAAAATGATTACATCTGGTTGTAGCAAAGTTTTATTCGTAGATAATTTTAGGCAATAAAACTAAATGTTTTTAAGATGCAACATACCTATTTTTCAAGGTGGTTAATTATTAATTAATTTATAATTATTATAACATTAACATTTCATGATAGAGTGATCTTTGAATCAAACTTGTTTACATTAGAAGAATGATATTCATTTAGAATAATTTCATTCCTAACAATATGCTAAATGTTTCAATATAAAATGACTTTACTTTAATAGTTCGGAAAATTCCATATTCGTGATCCTACGTCAAAGAAACGTTTAAAATTCAGCATCTGTGATACACGAGGGATTGAGGTGGAACTCTCCATTAAGGATGAGGATATTGGGTTTACTCTGGATGGAAATCTGCCCAATCACTACACTGTATGGCCTAGTTTATTTAACTCTCGTTGTAAGACTTTAATGACATGACCGAACATACCCTGTATCTATAGAAAAAAAAATATTCTGAAGAATTTGTAATTAATATTATCTTGTTTAACTTTGTAGTTCAATCCATTTGAAAAAGCCTCGACCAAAGTTCCTGGATTTGTAAAGGATCCGACATTGAAGGACAGAATGCACGTTGTTGTTTTTGTTATTGATGGAAGCACGCTCGATGTTCTTCCAGAGATCATCATTAAAAAACTCAAATACATCAAAGCGCTCGCTGAAGACAGAGGTATGAATTACCTCCGAACAAAAATTTGCTTTTTTAAAACTTATGACCTTAACTTTCATGGGATGTATACATATACTGAAAGGATAAAGAAACGGCGGTTGATCATTTGAAGTGAAACAGTCTTATTTTTTCTTCATGTATTTTCCAGTATTCCTATCTAATGTTTAAAATCATCTTTTATGAAAGTGTAACCAAAACATCTCATCTCATAATTCAGTAGTTATTGAAATTTTATATCATGATATCCCTATGTGAAAAAAAAACTCATTATCTTTAATATCTCCGGAGCGCATCTGTCACAACGTTAATACTCCTTTGCATGGATTTCATAAGCATGTTTATCCCCCCAATAAGGACATTATTGAACCCTTTTAAAAGACAGATCTAAGTTCAAAGAGATCAATTTGGGCATTTCGAACCCTATCACCAACTTAATACCACAGATGTTCATAAAGAAAATAATGAACATTACGGAAACCAAACTAGTGGGTAAATGTGATTGTTTACACACCTGAATGGGGGTAAACACACCGAAAAAGGCATAGGACGCTCGCATGCGCAAGTGAGGGGAACACTAACATTAAGTTAACAGCCTAGAAAACCCAAATCGCGCAATCGGTGAATGATTGATTGATTGTATGTTGTTTAACGTCCCTCTCGAGAAATTTTCACTCATGTGGAAACTTCACCGTATGCCGGTAAAGGGCTGTGAATTTAGACCTATACTTGGCACTCAGGGACCATTGAGCAGTGAGAGTTCTTTATCGTCTAAACGCCTTCCGTGAAACAGAACCTGTTTTTAAGGTCATATTCGAAAATCTCGTGACTTTCAATTCTAGTGCAGAGCGCTTGGTGAAGGAACAGTCACTACCTATGTTTACCTCTTAGGTATGATGCAGCGCCGCGAACGAGAATGGAACAAGGGCCTGCTATTGATATAAAACTGCTATTTATACAAAAGGTTATCATAATTATAATTTTCCAATTCCCAACCTTTTGTTTTAATAGCAGTTTTAATGGTCGTAATGTGAGATTCAAGCGGTGGCAGATTTAATTATTCAATCTAGATCTTGACCTGGCTATGTTACACGTCAACATAATCGTCACTGTTGGTTGGATACCATTCTAGGCCCTCTCTGAAGACGGGTTTGACGTAAAATTGAGGACATATTCTCAAGAAACTGTACAACATTCCTTTGTTGCATTTGTAATTACTTAGGCAATGTAAAAGCCAGACCCCATGGTTCATCCGACGACTATACCATAATTGCAAGAAATTCATATCGTTCGTAAAGATCGAAAAACAATATGTATACATCACATGCACAAAACGGTACAATGATATTGGGGACAAAATTTTCGTCATCAATTTGGATCTGTTTTTAGCTTTTAACCACTTTCCTTACGTGTTGAGTAAGGTTGAGTAATTCTGAGCACTGACTTTAATGCACAGTAAACAAAGATTCCCATCTGAGCAGTTTTCGAAATTTTTGGCCATGCGGTAAAAATGCGTATATTTTGTTACCCTGCGTTTCTTTTTTTTTCTTTTAGCATACATGTACTTCAATCTTCTAAAGTTAATTGGTTTTTCTTTAAAAAAAATCAAACGTTATACTTGTACATTTTAATTTTTGTTTCACTTATACTCATGCTATACATAACACTTTCTTAATTTTCATTCTTCTGTGTTGTTATTACATTTTATTTCGTAAAATATTGTCAATAAAATATTTATATTCATCATAGGTATACCTCAACTAGTATTCTTGACAAAAATGGACAAAATATGTGAACATGTTAAAAAGGATATCAGCAATATGTTCACAAGTGAAATTGTCGAAGGAGCTGTGAATAAAGCTGCTAACATCATTGCCATTCCAAGATCCCATGTGTTTCCGGTGAAAAACTATGAAAAAAAAACCAAACTTCACACAAATTTGGACATCGTAGCTCTCGGCGCCCTGTACCAAGCTCTCGTGTTTGCAGACGACTTCTTAGAAAATCAATGTGACGTAAAACAAGGTGGTACAGGAGAGTTGAATACAAAGGACTAAGCTTAAAAGCGAAAGTAATAAAGCAGACTTTATTTTATTTATGTGTATCATCATTTACAAAAACAATGGATGAACAGAATTTTTTTCTTCGATTGTTCAAGTCACTCATGCATGTAACTTTATTAAATGGAGTGCACGAGGGATGTTCCAAACTAATGACAATTTGATGTTTTCAAAATTTATTAATCTTCGATTTTTTTTTTTTTTGCGTTCCTTCACTTCAAATTACTCATCCTTGACCTGAATACACATTTTAAACGATCGATTACCTTCTTAAACAATATTCATACTCATCAATAACGACAACCATCATATATAGATAAATTGCAGACCCAATAGCTGATTGATTGTATACTGTTTAACGTCCCTCTCCAGAATATTTCACGGATATGTCACCATTGCCGGTGAAGGGCTGCAAATTTAGGCCTACGCTCGGCACTTACGGCCTTTGAGCAGGGAGGGATCTTTATGGTGCTACACCTGCTGTACGGTCTCATCCGAAGGACCGTCCCATTTAGTCGCCTTTTACGACAAGCAAAGGGGTACTGAGGACCTATTCTATCCCGGATCCAAACGGGGCCAATAGTAAGTTGTGATCTGTATCATTTCCAAAATATCGGGAGTTTAAGTTTGGAGAGCGGATAGAAGTCACATGGAGCTAAATCCAGGACATCGTTGTGCGAACGTTCGAGATACTTCATGCCTTTTTTCCCTTCAACACAAGAGTTTGCATAACAAGGCCTTTATTATCAAAGAAAATAACATATAAAATTTAGAAATCAACCTACAAACAGATCTAAGAAACATTTGGCTACCTTTTATAAAGGTCTTAATTTCATGTCTTTGAGTGCCCTTTTTCCAGTCTTATTGTTTTAAGTATAATTAATACACCAAAAAGCAACGCACACCGTAGCTACATGTAAGTAACTAAAATTATGAACATGAAATTTTATTCTGCTACTGTTTATAGATCAATCTAACGTGTCAATGTTGTTTCAGTGAGATATTTACAAGATTTTAACGCGAAGAGGGTGAAAAGGCATTATTCTTGGTACAATCCTCGTCCATTTCCTCTAATGACAAAAGAACATCATACTAAAGTCAAATCCACTTGCCTATTTTTTCAATATATTAACATTAGTCAGTAGTATGTTATTCTCTCCCTCTCTCTATTTCTCTGAAGGTATGCGTGTGTTTCAATAGATTTTGAGAAAAATTTCATCTTATTTACTTCTTAACTTTAGAATTATCTTGCATGTAGACATATATAGAACGCATGTCTCTATACTTATTTATATATCTTTGAAATCGCGTTGTTTGTATGATATCATAAAATAACATTGGTAAGTTAGTTTACAAATTATTATGTTGTACATATGTATATTTTCATTATTTATTTTGTAAGTAGGGTGCAGAAATATGCCACCAAATTAATAACAATATTAAAGTCTTTTTCTTATTTGGTTATAACAACAGTTGGCTACCTTACCCCCTACTTATATTCAAGTACGGTGGAGCCTCATTTATCCGGACAATTTGGTTACTAGTCAATTTGTCCGGATATATGAAACGTCTGGATACATGAATTACCAGCTTAACAAAAACAATAACTTAAAATGGTAGAGTACTCCATAAGAATAAAGCTCATTATGCTGCTCAAGCTCCGTGATTTTTCCATATGACATCTTATGGCGAGGTATTCTCAAATGCAAGCCATACTCCAAAGGTCAAGGTCAAAGATCACAATTATCGGTACCCAAATGAAGGTCGTGTCACAGGGTATATGAAAGCCCTAGTTATACCCGCACTTTCTAAAGAAAGTTCGGGTATATTGTTGTTACTCATGTCCGTCCGTCCGTCCGTCCGTCCGTCCGTCTGTCACACTTTTCTTCCCTGAACTCCTCCTACATTTTACACAGTAGCTTAATCATCTTTTAAGAGATGGTTGGTGGTGTTATGTAGATGTGCAGTAAGGTTTCGGAATTTTGATTTTGCCCCGGGGGGTCAAATGGGGGTCGAAAAATGACGTTTTTTGTGCAAAAAGTCCCGTCTTCCCTGAACTCCTTCTACATTTTACTCAGCAGCCAAATCATCTTTTGAGGGATGATTGGTGGTGTCATGTAGATGTGCAGTAAGGTTTCGGAATTTTGATTTTGCCCTGGGGGGTCAAATGGGGGTCGAAAAATGATGTTTTTTATGCAAACAGCCCCATCTTCCCTGAACTCCTCTTACAATTTACTTAGCAGCCTAATCATCTTTTGTGGGATGATTAGTGGTGTCATGTAGATGTGCAGTAAGGTTTCGGAATTTTGATTTTGTCCCGGGGGGTCAAATGGGGGTCGAAAAATGACGTTTTTTTGTGCAAAAAGTCTCGTCTTCCCTGAACCCCTTCTACATTTTACTCAGCAGCCTAATCACCTTTTGGGGGATGATTGGTGGTGTCATGTAGATGTGCAGTAAGGTTTCGGAATTTTGATTTTGCCCCAGGGGGTCAAATGGGGGTCAAAATGACGTTTTTTGTGCAAAAAGTCTCGTCTTCCCTGAACTCCTTCTACATTTTACTCAGCAGTCAAATCACCTTTTGGGGGATGGTTGGTGGTGTCATGTAGATGTGCAGTAAGGTTTCGGAATTTTAATTTTGCCCCGGGGGTCAAATGGGGGTCGAAAAATGATGTTTTTTATGTAAAAAGCCCTATCTTCCCTGAACTCCTCTTACATTTTACTTAGCAGCCTAATCATCTTTTGTGGGATGATTAGTTGTGTCATGTAGATGTGCAGTAAGGTTTCGGAATTTTGATTTTGCCCCGGGGGGTCAAATGGGGGTCGAAAAATGACGTTTTTTGTGCAAAAAGTCCCGTCTTCCCTGAACTCCTTCTACATTTTACTCAGCAGCCAAATCACCTTTTGGGGGATGGTTGGTGGTGTCATGTAGATGTGCAGTAAGGTTTCGGAATTTTGATTTTGCCCCAGGGGGTCAAATGGGGGTCGAAAAATAACGTTTTTCATACAAAGAGCCCTGTTTTCCCTGAACTCCTCTTACATTTTACTCAGCAGCCTAATCATCTTTTGGGAGATGGTTGGTGGGGTCATGTAGATATGCAGTAAGATTTTGGAATTTAGATTTTGCCCCGGGGGGTCAGATGTGGGTCCGAAAATGATGTTTTTTGTGCAAAAAGCTCTGTCTTCCTTGAAGTCTTCCTTAATGTTACTCAGAAGCCTAATCATCTTTTAGGAGAGTTAAATATTTTGAAAATTATGTAAAACATCAACATCAAGGGGTAACAAGATGTGTTTGTGAAATACTATGCGCCCGGCGTCAACAAAGTTCAAAAAGCTATTTTTAGCATATAGGTCACAGTCAAGGTCACAAGGTCATTGACCTTGGTGTTGTTTGTAAGAACTTAATTAGTGGGGTATGCATACTAAATATGAAGTCCCTATCTCCTATGGTTCAAAAGTTATGGCAAAAAGTAGAAAAAGCTATTTTTAGTATAAAGGTCACAGTTAAGGTCACATGGTCATTGACCTTGGTGTTGTTTGAAAGAACTTTATTAGTGGAGTATGCATACTAAATATGAAGTCCCTATCTCTTATGGTTCAAAAGTTATGGCAAAAAGTGGAAAAAGCTATTTTTAGCATATAGGTCACAGTCAAGGTCACAAGGTCATTGACCTTCATGTCATTTGAAGGAACTTTATCAGTGCAGTATGCATACCAAATATGAAGTCTCTATCTCCTATGGTTCAAAGGTTATGGCAAAAAGTGGAAAAAGCTATTTTTAGTATAAAGGTCACAGTCAAGGTCACATGGTCATTGACCTTGGTGTTGTTTGAAAGAACCTTTTTAGTGGAGTATGCATACCAAATATGAAGTCCCTATCTCCTATGGTTCAAAAGTTATAACAAACAGTTGAAAAACCTATTTTTAGCATATAGGTCACAGTCAAGGGCACGAGGTCATTGACCCTGATGTCATTTGAAAGAACTTTATTAGAGGAGTATGCATACTAATTATGAAGTCTCTATTTCTTATGGTTCAAAAGTTATGACAAACAGTTGAAAAACCTATTTTTAGCATATAAGTCACAGTCAAGGTCACAAGGTCATTGACCTTGATGTCATTTGAAAGAACTTTATTAGAGGAGTATGCATACCAAATATGAAGTCTCTATCTCTTACGGTTCAAAAGTTTTGGCCAAGGTTAAACTTGACAACAGACAAACTGACAAACAGATAAACAGACAGGACAAAAACAATATGCGCCCCGAAAAAATTCGGGCGCATAAAAAAACATCGCATGCTGGGAAACACCTTGAATTCTTATAAGTAATTTATGTACATGTCAAATGTGAGAGTCATATCTCATCTCAATCAAAAGTTATAAGCAAATGCAACATTTTTGAAAAGTAGATTAGGCTTGATCGCTTCAAGGTCAAGGTCACAGTGTAAAAGTCATGATTTATTTGAAAAGGTCTTATCACAGGTAATAATAAACATGCATTATGATATGAATGCCCTAACTTTTCTCTTTCAAAATGAAGAATTTATAACAATTTAATTTTTTTGCAAGTTGGTCAAACTTCTAGGTCACATATAAACCCCCCCCCCCAAAAAAAAAAAAAAAAACCATGCCATTCTCACAGGTAAATATACTAATACATAAGTTTAATATGAATGTCTCTTCTCATTCAGTAGATATGACCGTGATAACCAAGGTTAAATTTACTGAGTCTGACATACAAATGTACATATTTCTATATGAATTTGGTAAAATTGGCCCAGTGGTTCTAGAGAAGTTAAAACTGTAAAAAGTTTTCAGACAAACCTATGGACAACACGTCACGACAGACATTATATGCTAAGGAAACCAAAAAAGCTCAAATGAGTGTTTTGAAAGGGTTACAATATGGTTGGAGTATTTGAAAAGCTGTTTTTTTCCTGCAGAGATATGCATGACCAACATATTTATGTTTTATATTTTCTTTAGTAATTTGTTTGTTTGTTGAGAATACATCTTCCCTCATATGGAGACACCACCAAATAATAATGAAGATAAGATTTGTTTGTGAAACACTGATGTCCCAGTATGGAAGCCTATGGCGAAGGTTGAAGTTTCTCAAATATATGTCAAACTCAAAGGTCAAGGTCAAAGGGTTCAAATTGTTAGTATCAGAAGAAAGTCTTGTCACAAGGAATGCACATGTTAAATAAAGAAATCTCTAGTAATTCCTGTTCAAAAGTTAATTGCCAAGGTTAATTTTTTTGTTTAAGTGGTTCAAACTCTAGGGTCAAGGTCAAACATATTTATACCTGTTGACAGTTCAAAATGAATACAATATGTCATGATAAGTATGAAAGCCCTAGCACCTACTGATCAAAATTTAGGCAGGGTTTAAAGTTTGGTATTTTTCTTGTAAAAATGTGTATCCCATGTCAAGCGATCAGAGGTAAAAATTAATGGTACCCAAATAAAAGGTCTTATTAAATTGTCACAAGAAATAAACCTATAAAATGTGGAAGCTATATGTATAGCCCATCCCACTTAAAACTTATGGGCAAGCTAGCTAGGATTTAATTTTTGCAGACTTATAGACAGACATACTATAAACACAAGAAACAAAATATGTATAATAATTAGTCAAATGGAAAAAAATATACTATTTAACTGGAATCACAAAATAGATTGTTATTTCAGGGACAGGAAGTGGGTAGGAAGATTGGAATCCCCCCTCCCCCCCCCCATCTGGCATTTGCTTTGTTATTTAAACAAGACTATATACTGTAGCAAGTAAAAAATGACTCTTGACATCCTCTCCCTATAAACTTAGAAAACATTGACCTCACTATCATTGTTTTTTTATTTGTTTATTTGTTTTCATTTTTTTTCTCCTGCTTGTCACGAAATTCTGGGCTGGAATTTTTTGACTGAGATGTGAACCCCCCTTCCTACTCCCGAAAAAAATTCTGGATCCGCACCAGTATTGGCAGTAACTGAATGTCACATCGACAACGGGAGATAACTTCACAATATGAAATTCGTCTAGTGTGGCATGCGATGATCTTTTGACCTTTTTTAAACTTTAACCTAATCATTTGGGTGTATTTTACTCCCCACTATACTAAAACTTCTACTTACCGACTCCCTGTGTCTCGTAAACTTCATGAAATATAAATCCAATTATAACACAAAATGAATTAATCCAATGCACACCAGACTGCAGCCATGTGCCATTTTGGCGAACTTTCGTCGATTCCGTCACCTTATCAGATG